AATTTAACTTTGCAGCTTATCATGTAGAAAAGGAAAAATAATATTTCTCAGAAGTGTTCTTTGATAATATCGAAGAGAGCTAACAATTACTGAATACCATAAGCAGCGATCAAAAATTCTTAAAGTAAAAGAAATATATTTATTAGTTCTACTTTACATATATTTCCTTCCTTAAATCTATTCCCTTTCGTAAGAGTTTTTTATCTGTTCCATACGATCATCATAGCCAGAAACAATGAGAATCATTTTAATAAAATTTGAAACAGCTATGTGGCCATTTTGCGAACTGACAGCGCCTCAACCAAAGTGTGTGAAATTCGAATTAACCATTTTAAATTTTCGAAAATACAGAGAGTGCGCCGAAAATGAGACCAGCACCACATCCTTCTCTCTCTCTCTCTCTCTCTTTTGTATTAATGTCAATAAAAGTATCTGTCAAATGGTAAAATATTTTATTTTTTACATACACGTTATAGCTTGTTATTGTCTTCGGTACGGAGTCCGATATACGGTGCATATCTTTCCTGGATTGAGAGGACTGTGGATATGAGGGGAAAATGAAAACAGTTGAATGATGCTACATGTTTCCTTACGAAGGGATAGGGGAGAGGAATTTTGAGAGGGAAATACAAAAAGACAAACCGGGTCAAGTTAAAATTTAGTTCGTTAGTGAATGAGTGAATCTGAATCAATAAAATTAGGCCAAAAATAAAAGTATGTATGTACCACAGGCGTTAACTGTTTCTAATGACTTCAGGCGACAATACGCCCTCGGGACAAAGACCTCGGGCGTTTTATCGACCCAGGATAATTTGAACATCTATTATTCACAGCCCACAAGGATATACTCTGTGCTTACGACAATCTTCAGAACGACTTAACAACATATATCACCTGGTCTGAACAGTGGAGAATCAAAATAAACTCGCACAAATCTCAAGCAAAAATCTTCACACTTCGAAGACCACCGACCCCCCCCCCCCCCCTTAAAATTCAAAATTCAATATTAAAATGGCTTCCCAAACAAACGGCAGTTAAATATTTAGGACTAATGTTTGATGAAAAATTATCTTGGAAAGACCACATCAAAACAGTTGCAAACAAAACGTACGCCAAAATTGCTAATAAATATTTAATATATGTATTTATATTTATAAAAATATATTTAACATTTAATTATTTAATATTTTATTTATTTGATTATTGGAAATAAATATCACGGTGATGGGTCGGAGTAAATTAAAACATTCAGTTTGCCGATGTTTCGGAATATTTTTATTACATACTCAGGGATTACTAAAATATTGTTATAATGTCTCAAAAAAGTCTGAATTTAATCCGACTAAATTCCTTATTATCTTTTCCAATTTCTACAGCATGGTCGTGAATCAACTATAGTCATTTATTTATTACTATTAGACCTGCGATGATTTGCAATTACGTATTAAACTTTACAAGCTACAACTCCCATGATTGCTATCATGTTATACGTTACTCTGTGCTAAAATTTTAATAGAAGAAATACTTCCTCTGGAACATGGGTTTGCTCTAAAATTGCTCCCATTGCTATAGTCCCAAGTTTAGACAATTTTCTAAAATTCCATTTTGCTAAAACGTTGTCTCTCAAGTTTGAACGAGCGTTTGCTACCACACTGCCATGGAGAAATGATTTGATTTTCCCCTGATAACATCGAAATAACAATTTCGGTCGATATTTCACAACGGTAGGGGTAGAATATGCAGCCACAGACGCTTAATAATTGACGGTGAGGGGGATTGCTTCCGTCATCATAAATGCATAAATAATCATCAACGATTAACATACACAATTTAAACGCACCACTGTTTAAACACTGTCGACACTAATAAAAACAAAGTGTGAAAATTTCAGGGAAATCAGTCAAGTATTTATTTATTTATTTATTTATTTATTTATTTATTTATTTATTTATTTATTTATTTATTTATTT